CCGTCCCCCCTCCGCTCCCCACCCCGCCGCGGTTATCGCGCGGCGATCGATTACTCAGTCCGTTATCGTCCATCAGCTCGTCCGTCAGCGCAGCTTCCGCCGCCCCCGCCGCCGCCGCCGCGACTTCCCCAAATGAGAAGAAGCCCCGGGGTTCGGGGCAGACGCGCGCCACCGGGTGTCCGTCCGTCCGTGCGTCCCCGAGTCCGTCCGTCCGACCCGCCGCCATGAGCGTCCCGACCTGGTCCGTCGCGGTCATCCTCCTGCTGCAGCTCCCACGGAGCTCGTGGGAGGAGAGCGCGGGTGAGCGGGGGTGGGGGTGGGGGGTGGGGACGCCGGGGTCACGTGGTTGGCGGCGACCCACGCGGTGTCCCCGGGGGTCGCGGGGGTCGCTGGGACGGCAGCTCATCTGCACAGGCCCGTATGTGAATGCCTGTCGGAAGGTGGGCTGCGGCAGGGTGCTTGTGGCTCGGTACATATAGGGTGCCTGCGGCTCACTACATAGGGTGCTTGAAGCTCAGTACGTACTGTGCACCTCAGTACACACTGTGTTTGCAGCTCAGTACATAGGGTGCTGCGGTCAGTATAGGGTGTCTGTGGCTGAGTTGGCAGGGTGCTTATAGCTCGGTTGAATAGACCACAGTTGAGCGGACAGAGTGCTTGTAGCTCGGTTGAACAGACCCCAGTTCTGCGGACAGACTGCTTTCAGCACTTGCCGCGGCCCAGAACCCGCCCCCGAGACCACGTGGTCCCGTCACTCACCCCGACGTGGGCGGAGCCGCGCGTTCTCAGTCCCCTGGTCTCGGGTCAGCTTCCGCCCTGGCGGCTGGTGTCACCGCCGGGCCCGCCCCCTCGCGCATTTCTCCGACACCGGCCGGTTCCGCTTCCGGCTGCGGGAGGGGGTAGGGGGGAACGTTAGGTGGGCCGGGGTCACTGACGGGGCCGGGGTGGTGGGGTGTTCCGCGCATGCTCTGGCGTGGCCGACGGTCCTTCCTTCTCGCTGGGTCACCCGGGTGCTGGGTTCTCTCGGGGCTCAGTCCTCCCGCGGCTGAGTACTCTCGGGGCTCAGTCCTCCCGCGGCTGACGGACTACTCTCGGGGCTCAGTCCTCTCCCGGGCTCACTGCTCTCCCGACTCAGCCCTGCGGGGGCTCGGTACCCTGTGGGCACAGTACTGCCGGGGCTCAGTACCCCTCTCCCCGTCACAGATTTCCAGAATAGATAGATTCCTGGAAACTCCACAGTAAAAGGTCAGACGTTTCCGGACACGGGAAGTCCCGCCCCCAGGGGCCTCAGAGTGACAGGCGAATGCTTGTGAGTCGGTCGGTAGAGTGCTGGGTGCACAGTGGGGAGAGTGCTGGGGACTCGGTGGGTGTTCCGGCTCCGGAGGAGCGGTGCCCGCTGTCTGGAGCCGGGTGACACCCGCAGCCGGGGCCCCGGGGACGGAAGCGGCTCCCACAGGATGTGGCAACCCCGCTCCTCTCCTGGAGCTTTGCTCCACCCCGAGGGCTTCCCAGCCCGGCTCTGGGCGGCTTCTCGTCCTCAGCTTCGGTCCGCTCCAGGGGAAGCCTGC